GATGTTGAAGTGCTGACCTGTGTATTGCCTTGAAGTTTGTTGGAAGCCAGGACAATCTGCTGCGGCTGAATGATGACTCCTGTTTGCTGGGGCAGGGCTCCCTGCAGAGGAGCCAGCACCTGGACACAGGACAAAGTCCACACGTTACAGTATTCTTTAGATTTAGTCAAATCTTACAAATGCTAAATCTCAATTATGGCACTGTTTTTGTTGAATACGGTGGCAGTGGCACAGTAGTAATTGGCATATTAAATTTCACTTAAGTCCGACAGTTTTAAATGGAATTATTGACAGAAGGGTCGTGCTAAATGGTAGTTTAAGAAAAGTGATGTGGGCAGTCTTCCTGATTTCCCAGAATTACTTTGTGTTTTTCGTGTCTTTTTTTTTTAAACCACCATGTTTCCAATGTTCTCGTATTGCTCTACTGCCAGAAGAACCACAGTTGCAGTGCTCCACGAAACCTTGTCAGTTATGGACTGAAGTTGTCAACTGATTAAAGGGGAAAAACTAATTCACCCAGATAAACCTCAATCAGTAGAAGACAACTGTTTTGTAGCTTTGTGTTCAACCAAAAAACATAACTTTCCTTGGTGCTTTACTTGATGTTTTCAAAGTCTTTTACCACAACCTGCATTCCATTTTAAGTATGAATATCTAATAATGTGCAATGGTGTTGAGGTAAGGGCTGAGGTATGTCCTCTGTGACATCAGGTTCACAGACTGCATGCAGTTGCGTGGTCACCAAAGGTAGTGCTCTGTGGGGCAGCCAGGCTGCTGCACATTGTCAACCATGGCAGACGACCTGTTTTCCTAAGACAGGACTGAAACCCACATTTAAATTTCTACTTTTTAATGCATTAAGGAAAAGCCTCAAAACTGCCCAGAACGGCTGGAAAACATTTAATGTTGCTGAGAGTGGGTTTCTGGTTCTCTGGATTTGATGTTCTTCTGGTAAAAGTGACCCTGCTTAAAAAGTTTTTATTGATTCCGAATGATTTGACGACGAGGTTAACCGTGTGAGGACAAACCTGTTGTATGACGGGTGCCTGCACACCTCCAGGCTGCATCTGCTGCTGCAGCAGAATTGGCTGCTGTGGTTGCTGGATAATGTACTGAGTTCCATTGGGGCCACGGAGAACCTGCAAAATCTGACCTGAGACAACAAAACGCACAGGATAAGTGACAAGGGCACTTGTTTACAACGGTATATACAACATTTAAGGTAAGCCAAACAGAATAAAAACAAAACTCTAAATGGGAACTCTCACCTTGTCTCTAAAGTGTGTTGCAGACATCAGCTTCTAAATGTGTTAGTGTTTAGCACCAAGAACTAAGTTTGCTCGTATGAAAACATTGGAAGACTTTGATTAGAACGCTAAGTCAATACCAAACTAGAAACTTCATTTATTATTAGAACTTGGTGTGGTGCAACACAAAAAAGGAAAGTTTGTTTATAAATGTAAAAATAGTTCTTGTGTGTGTGTTTTTACCTTGGCTGGTGATGAGCTGTTGGTACGGTGTGACCCCTGTGGGCAGAGCAAGTGTTGCTGCGGTAGCTGCTGCACTCTAGAGGAGAGATGGAAACATTGCAGCCGTCAGTGATGGAATTGTTGCAGTGAGTAAAAGCTCACACAGACCATTAGCTTTAAGACAGATCAAAAAAAAAAGGCCGACTGCAAAAATGAACAATGTGAAAAATCAATCGTATATGAATCAGAAAATACTCTCAGTCAGCTCAGTCTGACTCTAATGTTTCTCTGGAGACATTTTAATATTTATGAAAACAGAACAACATTTTAAACGTCAATACTCAGTCCCTGGGCTAGAATGAAGCAAAATGTTGTTTTTGTTTTTTTGATTATGAGAAGTTAAATGTACGATTTTGAGACTAAAATGCTTTTTGAAATTAAAGGGAGAAGTGTAGTTCAGAACAACAGCACAGATGTAAGTCTTGACACCGACAGATGGGTTACTGAACCATATGTTCCCTAACTCACAAGAAAGAGCACTTATACTGCAGCCTGAAATTAGACCTGATAAAAAGAGAATTCCTTTCTCCTGTCCTTACGTCCTCTGTGATCCAGTCTAATTAAATCCTGTCAAAGTCCTTCCTCACCTTCACTCTCCTGCCTTCTCTTCCTTTCTGCCTGTTATTGGACCAGTTAGCCTGCTCTGAGGAGAAGAACTGTGGAGATGCATTGTGATCATTCCCTTCTTTCTTTTTTCCTACTATGTACACATCCCATACTGTTAAAACTGTCTGTTTTATGTGGTTTCACTGGTAAACAATTTGATTCCTCTAACATTATTCATTACTTCTAACCGAATGCTATGAGACTTAAGGCTGACACATACTTCCCAAAATCTCACAATGATGCGTGGAGGAGAAAAATCCAATTTTTTTTAAAACTCTGCAGCCCTGGTGTGGGAGTTACTGTAGCTGCCTTTGATGTACGACAACTACAGCGCGATTAGTCCAAACTTGAAGTGGACGTAGTTAACGCTGGCCGTATCAAAAGGTCGTAAATGCCACCAGCACTCATTATTACAGCAAATCCTTCTACTCCTCTGCATTAAACATGTTGTTTTCGTCCTCCATCAAGCTGTTGTTTAATTGTTTATGATAAATTTCAAAAATGCTTATGTGGGCTGACAAGAGGAGACCTAACTCTTGTTCTTGCTCACTCAAAATAACCAACACATTTCTGGGTTCTGGCGAAGTATGAACCAGCCTTTAATCGGGTCTTCAAAGTTGAAAAACTGGAAGACGAAAATCACAGCTCAGCAGTTTTGTTTTATGAATTAGCGGCAGTAACTAATAACTTGTCAAATGGCCTGGATGCAGGTTATTTTCAGTGGTTTTACACTTTCTTTGCTTTTAGGGGGAAGCAAAGGTAGTGCTGGTTTTTTCCAAATCACGATTTGTCAGATATGAATTGAGATCATTTACGTACCATCCCCGTTGCACTCATGTGTTGCAGAATCTTAGAATCCTGAACAATGACTTGCTGTTGCGGGGCTGAAAAGACACAAAGGAGCAAAGAGAGTTTTGGCTTGTTACCAGTTCATAAAATAAATGTTGCATGAACCAGTGTGCCTGTCTTGACAGTTCGTACTTGTGATGACTAACCTTGCTGCTGCTGTGGGGGCAGGATGACCTGCTGAGCCTGCGCCGGCTGAGTGACTTGCTGCACCTGCTGCACTTGCTGCACCTGCTGCTGCTGCTGTTGCTGCTGCTGAGCAGCCTGCAAAGCTGCTTGCTCCTCGGTGTGGAAACCATCCACCGCCTTCGACTGCAACAGCTTGTTCTCCCATAGCTGGAGCACCAACCACGGGGAAGATCAACAAATTTACAACAAATGAATTTAAAAACAAAAACAATTTAAAAAAATTCTGACAACTAAAAATTGTATAAATGTTTTGTATATGAGCAATGATACCAAGGACAGTTACCGTTTTCAGCTCCAGCAGCACTTGTTCATCCACTCCCTCATCCAGGAACAGCTCTCGTACGTCGTTGATCACATCCTCAATCACAGATTTATATAATTTAGGCTATGAGGGAGAGAAGAGGACATCTTTACTTTGTTGTCTTTTTAAATACTTCACATTATCTATGACTAAAAAAAGTGTTATCTTTGTTGAATATGTGGAGCCTTTCATTACATGTGTCTCTGCAACACAACACCAACAAATCATGTGTCAGTAGACATTAAATTTTGCCTGTGTTGGTTGGCTGGCAGTCGTGTTTTGTGGCAGGTGGCATCCATACTGTTGCATTAATGCCTTCTTGGAGATTCTCTTTCTTTCTAGATTTCTCATCTTTTTAAAAATATCCCTTTTTCTTCTTTGCTCGGTCTGGTTCACTCTTAGATGGCTGATAGGGGGGTTTGTTGGCAGTTGGATTTTGTCTTACTGCCTTGTTTTGAGTTTAGTTATTCATTAATTCTTCTCATTAATTATTGATTGATGGTATATTATTGATACCATGGTATAGATATAGTCTGCTAGATAGTTATTTTTGTCTCAAGCAGACAAGATACAGTCAAGTGCATTTCTGCCTCAAGCCTGGTGTGAAAGCACAACTCTTTTACCCTGTGTTTGTTTGCGACAGCTGTTTTATTTTCAAAGGATCAAAGACATATTTTTGCTTCCTCCCGTGTTCAACGTAAGTTAACTCAGCTGAACACATATGTTGAACTTGCTACCTATTGCCCTTTTAAGGCTTTGAACATCATAGTACCATCAAAATAATTTCAGACTGGCAGTTTGACTGTTTTCAATGGAAATGTGACTCGCAGCAAGGAAAGGCACTAATTTTCTCAAGCAGACTGACCAAACCAGTTTAGGTAAGTATGCAACATTTCCGTGACTCGCAGCAAGGAAAGGCACTAATGCTATATTTAGACCCAATTGCCATTATAACCTACTTACAAGCTTCTGAAAAGAATGAAAAGCAGTAGTAATGGATGAGAAATCCACAAATGTTTAATGATGTATCACTGAGGGAATCTTCATTCAGCCTTCATTCCAAACTCACAATTACTCATACTGCCTCTTCCAAATGATTTATTGTAATACAACAAAATAGCCCCTTGTGAAAACCACATTTTAAAAATCCATTTATAATGTGAACATATCTGATTATAGCATTCTGAATGCAAATATATTGTTTTAACTGCATTATAACGGTTGAAAACAATATTTTAGAGGTTTGACACACCCATACAAACATTGTCAACAACCTTTTCTGGACAAAATGACTTGTAACTTGAGTGTTAACAAAAAGTTTTAACCCAACTGTTTTTAAAACGCATGCAAATAATTTTAAACAATATACAAAGATTTGAATATCATAGAATTACAGAATGTCTAACGGATCATAAACTGTAATCAACGTTGATGAAATCTATGGCTTTGACGTCATAACGGTATCGCGTGTCTCCGTACACGTAATCCAATCCTGAAGTGTTTGCCCCGAACTGCAACGTATAAGGGGGTATTAAAATACTGACGTACAAAGCACACGCACGAACACATACATGTCATTTAAATGTACTGTAATACCGCGGTTCTTTGTAAACCTAAAGACGTCCCGCAGATACGCGCACATGGACCAATGCTTTGCACCGAGATCCCTGCAAATGCACACTGTCCCGCCGCGTCCGCAGCTCGGCCTTAAGTCTCTCCTTCCCTCCCCCTCGGCCTGTCTCTTCTCCACTATTTAAAGCACAGTGTGGTGTTTATATGTAGAGCCGGTGACGTAGTGTCGAGAAGCACCTTCCCATCCCGGGCAGTCTATATTAGAGAGCCAATATGGCGGTATAAAACCAGGCAGCGATAAGGAGGAGGGTCAGAAGCGGAGAGACGGGAGACGTGGAAGCCATTTTACGGAGCGGCGAACGGCGCGCTCTTTAGCCTCGTTCTGTGTACATTACGTGACGGAGTGTGAAGGACATTTTTCGTGTGTTTTCTTGTTTGTGCCCACTTTTTAAATAATACGGTCATGTCGGCAGGGAGCAGGATAAATGGGCATTTATGGTGGTGCTTTTTGGGACAGCTAGCATGTCTTCTGGGCGTGGAATGGTGGACAATGATGAGGCATTTGACTGAGTTTTGACGACTTTCGACGAAGGACACTTTCATTTTCACCCAAACATAACCTAAAGCTATCGCAGTGGACAATGGGAAGGTGCTTGGCGAACATAACATATTTCAATCTTGTTCTTCACAATAAACTTCGCTCACTTTAAACATCACTTTTTCCGCATTTTTAATCAGAAACAAGCAATTCAAGAAAGAACTACATTAACAAAACGCCTTTCTGCCGTATCTTTTCCACACTTAAAATAATTTGGCGTTTAATACAAACTACCCATTGATGTAAGCTTCAACCTGACGCATGGTTCTAACAACTTGCATCAACAACACCAGGTTCACACTTGCACAATTTCATCCATGCAGTTAAAATATTATTTTTCGAATTTTGGAGCTGAAAAACACCTTGATTAGAATAGATCTATATGTAAGCTCGTGTCAATGGCTGAACTTTTAAGTCTTCATTTTATTTGAAATAAGAGTGAAGTGTTTGTTAAGACAGATCATTTCACTGTAATGAATTAAACCAGTTCATTTACAGCGTTTAAATAACTTTACCCCCATTTCCCCGTTGACAATCCCGAGAGATTCATCCTTACCACTGGGTTCGAGTTAGCCGAGCTCGCCATTATACGCGTAGTGTAAAAACCACACGGAAAAGGCGAGAATTAGCGCCGAAAAAATTACAAAAAACGAACTAAAACAACTGGGAAAGATAATGATAAAACAGCCGGCATAACTTTTGTAAATAAAACACAGTTTTATCGGTCTTATTTACAATCCCGGGCTGCGACTCCCCAGCCGTCCTCCTTCCGTCGTTGTCCTGCTTTATATACTGAGCATGGAGCTGCGAGTGCGCGAGACATAGGGCAGGGTCAACCCCCAAATCACGCGAGATTTCGTACGGATAGTGATGACTCATGACTCCCGTTGAAGCTGGGTAATGTATTTTACATGCGGCACATGGTCAGCAGACGTGTGTAAAGCTATAAACACTATAAAAAAATCGTGAAATTCTAAAATGGTAACAACAAAACAACGAGTAGCAACAAAACAATACACACGTTGCGCAAGAATAAAACGGCACTTATTTATTGAATATTATTTATTAAAGTTTAAATTTTTACCAACCATTTATTCCCGACGGTCAATTATTTTTATACTTTTTAACATAGTATTATTTTGAAACAGATAAGAAATTATTTAAGTAACCTGGCTCATAAAATTACTATGATTAAAAATGATATATTTTTTCGAAATCTAATTTTCAAGGGCCTAATTATACCTGCATGTACTACTAACATGCTGCCACTAGAGTGTGATCTCACTCCATCCAAAAACTAACGCGCGCGTACGCGCACTCCCCCTTGCGTTCACTGTTTTTTGTGTTTAATGGGCACAATGCATTCCATTACTCCTTCACCTTGACATTACACACCTCACACTAACAGTCCAATCTGATCCCAGTTCTAGTCCTCACTCTAAACTAAATATTAAAACATCAACATATGGGGAGACCTGCAAAATGTCCCCACAAGGATTAAGTGTGCTCACAACAATAAAAGACAAAACACCACCATGCACTTAGTTTGTATAGAGTGAAGCTGTGTTATGTGTAATGTGATTGAAGGAGATTAAAGTGAATTATATCAACAAAGCATATCTGGGTCTTTTTCTGCCTAATCCAAAACATACCTGCGCTGACTACCAAGGGAAATTTCTAAAAACAATAAAGCTTTGCAATAAATAAGAACTGACAGGGGAACGTTACCTCTACTACTGTCTCCATGGAAACTTGCCTCGCTGGCCATTGTGTGGATAGGGATGCTATAGAGCGGGAAACACACATCCCCTCTGTACATCAATCCCATCAGCACTTCAACAAAGCTCCTTTACTGTGGACTGTTACAACTGTTGGCTTCCATGAGATGAAGATAAAGGCTGATGTGGGACTGACCACAGTGTTTTTATTGTTTTGTTAAGGTTCTGTAAGGTGAACCCTCCATGTCCCACATGGGCAGTTTTCTTCCCTGGGAGCAGTCAATAAAAATTGATGTAAATAAATACATATGCACTGCACAAAGCAAGGTGGTACATTAACATTTTTTTTACCGTGGATTTTTTTGTTACATATGTAAACCTGTTTTACATATTTGTTACCAAAGCAGTTTTATTAAAGTTGTTGAACACTGAATCATTGGCAACTTTCTCTTGATTTTTTTCCATCGAGTTTTTGTATTTTTAGCATAAACTTAGCAAAGCATAGGAAAAATCCCCAATATTTACGAGAAGCCACTGTTAACGTATAATTTTTGTTTTGTTTTTTGGCTAATTTAAATATTGTTTTTAACTAGATTTTTTCAATTTTGTTTTTGTTGTTAGTCTCTTAACTAGCTTTTGGCAATACTTTTTTTATGCCATTGGTAAACTTTTGTTATAGTTTGCTCTGCGTTGTTGCATTTTCTAAGATGTTCAAATCTGTCCCCCCCATTTTTCTTTAAATTAAAATGTCAAAATTATTTCAATATTTTAGGTACATTTTTGTCCTCAAACAGAAAAGAAACCCCAAATCACTACTGATATTGTCAAATTAACCTCTAACACAGCATTTAAAGGAAGTTGGTGCCTACTGTATATCAATAGTTCTTTTTAGTTTTTCCTTCTTTTTTATAAGCGACATAAAGAGGTGATTGATAACTTTGGAGTGCTGGATGTTTGACAAACTATCACCTGTGATGAAACACCAATCAACGTTCCATTACCTTTGAGTGTCTGCGTTACCGAAGAGTACGATGCCCTCTGAAGATCTACTGTAGGCACACTTTTCTCCCCCCCCCCCTTCACCGCTTCTTTGCTGTAGTTGCATAGCAACAGAGGAGCTGCTAGCTACAGTTGTGGCGGTGTTGGGAGCGTGCACAGTGCTGCACAGGGAGACACTGACTCCAGATTAAGCCTGTCTGGGCTTCAATTATGAATGGACTTCCACTGCCACACATCTCTGAAATGGCACTTGGATTGATAAGGCATCCAGGAAGCCTTCGCTCGCACTTAACTCTTACACTTCTCTCCCTACAGGGGGTTGCCAAGTTTGACTTTAATCAAGAGTATTGAACTTAAATGATTAGAGGAAGTAAATGAATAATTAACTGTTGGAAGAGGCATGGTTATGATAAGACCCATGTTGATAGGGATGTGTGAGGTTAATTATGAGGGTCAGTCTCAGAAGCAAATCAAAGCCAACGCTTCCACGTCTAGCTGGATGTGAGTGGGTGCTGAGCAACTGTGGTAAAGTAGGGGCCAAAAAGAAATATATACACATATATAGGAACCACATATTTACAGTATGTGTATATTTAGTTTTTTTTTACCTGACCAGGAAAGCCATTGTTAGACCTAGTGATGTGGCCAAAATAGTTGTCTTACCTTGTAAAGTAGAGCAAATTGACATAGATTTATTTGTTCATTTCAAGTCCGTCAGAAGAGAGGAGGCAGAATAATCTTCTGCAACTTGTACTTTTTATTATTGCAACCAACTGGAAGACAATACATCACATAAACATCATTGTAGTTTTTCAGAAAATGGAAAACAAAATAAAACAACATTTATATATTTTTTTTGCCACAGTATTGGACAACGTTGATATTTACATGTAGTGATGAATTAGGTCTTGAAATCATTCTTTGGCAATATGATTGCACAATAAGGAAAGGATCAAACAGTTACTGAAAAAAAGAAAGAAAAAAAAAAAAGGAAACCAACACCTGGGCGCACTCTGCATCACATCTCATGGATCAATAAGAGTTTTGCTTTCAGACATCTCTCACCTATGGCTTTCCAATATTCACCTCAGACGGTCACACACAAAAAAAAATGATGGCAGTTTTCTAGATCGTTTTGTCAGAGAAGAAACAAAAACATGAAAATGTGCAAAAACAAACATTGGCAAGTACGTGATGTTTGGCAGGATTAAGTTTAACACTTGCTTAAGAAGGTTTTTTTTTTATTTATTTCAGGCAGTGCAGTGTATTTCTTTAGCTTTACAACACACCAGGTATATTTTATGTGGTTTTTTTTTCAGGCCATGTAGGTCAGAGGTTCATCTTTCCTGCATGTCACTGAGTGAGTCAGAGGGAAAAAAAAGGCTGTTGCTAAAGCAACACATTCTCCCCTGACATGCCTCTACCAACTGAACACATTATTAGTCACCACAACCGTGGATTGTTACTGCAAATACGGCGGAGTACTCGACCTGGGCTCCTGGAGCACTCAGACCCATATCAGACAAGAGACGAATGGCACACAACAAGGACACTGACAGTGTCTCATTTTGTCTTTTCATATGGTGTGGACATCATACAAAATACAATGCCAGTAATGCATGCTACAGGTGGCAAAAGACTATACCAGTGGATGGGACATGCACTTGTTTACCCACTCTCGCCGACAGTCAACGTGTGACTCCCCAATCCCGTAAAGCTGCTCTGCATATCTTGCACGTGAGGGCAAACTAATACTTTAATGCACTGCAGATTTCGAGAAAACATGCCAAATATTGGCCGTGTAGTTTCTATATCAGCTCCGTCAGAACCCGCTGCTGCTCACAAATCTGGGTAAATCTCGAGTAAAAGAAACCAAAATTCAACCCCTAATCTCCAGATTGGGCTGGTTACATAAATCTGTCATACAGATTACAAGATCTGAAATTAAAATCTTAATAAGAACACTGCATGTGAAAAAAAAGAAAACAACTTTTTTTTTTTTTCATTCTTTCTCCCTCCTGTCTTTCTCAGCTTCTCTCGCTCGTGTGATCTTTAACTTCCAGGTAGCTGTTTGTTATGAGGTTCTTACAGGAAATCCACAAGGTTTTCTTCGCTCATCTGATCCACACGTTGACACAGTAAAATGCTGATGGCATAGTAGGACACACGTACACTTACACACGGAAGAGGAAACCAAAACAATCATGTCATAAATAAAGACCGGTTATCGTTCTGTCAACACATGTCGGAGACACGACAACAGAAACACTGAAGGGGCAGGCAGGCAGGCAGGCACAACGTTTCAGGTTGTGCGTTCCTGGGCACACGAACTCACGCGCTCTACAGACGTGTTCTGAAATAACACCGGGGTTGACACTGAACACACACAAGTCACTGTACAGGCAGAAGACGACAGAAGCCCACCCTTTAAAGGTGATTTAGCTGGCCTACGTAGCCTGAACCCAACGCCCAGAGGTGGCGCCCTTGGGCCTCTAATCGCAGAGTGATCTTCCACATTCCTCCCTGAAGACGTGTCTTTAAAAGCCCGCCCAGAAAAAAAAAAAAAAAAAAAACAACCCAAAAAGACCGGAAAAAAAAAAAAAATCCAATATAACCACACGGGTATAGGAATTGGCGGCAAAACATTTTTTTTTTCCTCTAGGATCAAGATTTATATGAAAATAAGTCATGCTTCATGCTAAATACATTGTTTATCTTACATGATCTTTGAATAAAAAAGATTTGCTTTTATCTTATTTACAAGCACCCATGCAATATAACTGAGAAAGTCCTGCAGGTCAAATTGCTTCAATTAAGAAAGGAAAAAAATAAAATATTTTCTAACCTTTTTACAGAGTTGTCCACACGGGACAAATTGCTTATATCTTTATGAGGGTAGAGTGAGGGTAAACAGACAGGAACGGAAATCTAAACCCACAGTTTATGTATAGAGTTTTTTTTTTTTTTTGTCAAATGAATAGGAAGGTGTGGTCGCTACTGGCAACTATGGTTTCTATACCAGGTGTCTACATCTATGGACAGAGGTACTAGGGAAGTTTTTTTGTTTTCGTTTTGCTTTTTTTTTTACATTATGCAACAACAACAAAATGAAGGAGATATTGCCTCAAACCCGGCACACTATCCACCTCTGTGGTGATAAACATGATCATTTTGTAAATTTAATATATCTATTCTTAAATACTATGAGTGCTCTTGAAATAAACCATGTCTTTACCCATGATGCTTTGTATTATAAGTGGCGTAAAATAATCTTAAGTGCATGAATATATATATCACATTGGGTTTTACAATTATTTTGACACCTTAGGTAATTTTCCCTCCCAGCTCCTCCGTTCTACTACACCTTTTGTCGTCGGCTGTCGCATCGGCTACATGAAGCAACCTGGTCACTTATCTTTGGCACAGTCTCACAATTGTGCTCATGGATGTCGGAGAGTAATGCAAGCACGCGGCCGGAAGAGCTCCAAGTCTGGGTGAGTAGGCTTCGTCTCGACGGCTCTGCGGCCTTTGCTGGCATCACTTCGAGATTGCTACAGATTCACATAGAAACGAACAGATAAGACAAACAGCCATCGTCTGTTCACGGACAGTACGTGATTCGTCATTTTTGTCGGGTTCAAATTTTTTTTTTTTTTTTTTTCCAAATTAGAAACAAAACGTGCTTTTTATGGCTTTCATCCCCTTTTGAAACAACAAAACAACAGAGACGCATGACAAATACCCATTGATGTTAGTGTTGCTGAACATGTAGGAAAACATAGATTTTTGATATTGCCACATATAAGTAGGATTCACCTAATGCCCTGCAGATAGATAGAGGGTGATGGGAAGTGTCCATGGAGACTAATGCTGTCGTAGAGTTACCTGTTGACCTATTTGTGTATTGTATGTCTCGGTGTGCTAATGTGTGTGCGTGTTTTGATCTGTGTGTGTGTGTGTGTGTGTTTGTTCGACATGTGTGTTTTAGTTTCTCAGGGCCTCCTTCTGCTCTTTCTGGCCCTTGGCGGTGCGGTTTGTGATGTTGTTCAGGCAGGCTCTGACCCCCGCCAGGTGGAGCAGCGACCCCGCTGCCTCCTTCATCTCCTCGTCATCGCTCTCCGGCGGCTTCTCCACCGCCGCCGCGCGTCGCTTTTTCAGCGGGAGCGTGTCGCTGATGCCTCTGGCTCGGTTTTTGGTCCAGGGCAAACTGCTGCCTGCCAGAGTCCCCGCTCCTGATACTGAACTACGTCTCTGTCCACGAAGGGCCTGTTGGGAAATGTAGGCAGTTGTGGCAGTGGTCGTGTGAGAATCCAACGGAATCTCCCGGGGCTCTGCTTTGACGTCTGATTTGATCTCTACAGCAATTATGTCGTCATCGTTGTCCAAGGGGCATGAAGAAGCTGCGACCTGGGAGGAGCATAGCCTACTGGGGGACATGGCGGTGCTGTAAGTGTGGTCATCCTGGAGGTCCTCGCCGCAGGGGGGTGGAGTGTAGCGAGATGGGCTGTCCTGTCCTCGGCTTAGATAATCTCCTAGGGAAGATCTGTGAGGAGCAAGGACACAGAGGGAGGGAAAATTGTTAGTCCTGCTGTCACACTGCCATGTGGCCTGCCTCCCTGCCTCTACACTCTCCACTTCACTGGAGCTGCCCCAGTTTGCGCTGCATTTGGCTAGAAAGCAGAAAACCCACTAATAATCCATCACCCTCCAATAGCCCCCTCGGGCCTAATGTGCAGCGCATATTTCTAAGGTCAGATTAAATCCTTGTATCTCCAAGAGGAGCCAGTCGTTCCTGCAGGAATGAGCCGGCTCATTTTCAGAACGCCACATCTGCATTTTTTTCCCAAACGATACAGTGCATTCTGGGCCGCTCCCGTCTTCCCCCTCAGGTTGTGGACTTTGCTCAGCAGAACGAAGGACCTTGCGAGCTCCAAAGTCAGAAGTGACGATTCTGCGGCGTGCCACATAACTAGTGTTCACGTTGTGCACGGTACAAAATATCTGTACTAGTCTGGAAGACATTAAAAGGACAGGGGCGCGTTCAAACAACCAATAAATCAAAAGGTGCTTAAGCAGCGTGCCTGGTCCCCTGGAATATTTTTTTTCCCCTTCAGAATCAAAGAGTTAGCATATTAATATCTTAGAAGAAAAACATGCCCCTTACAGTGATCAAATATTCACTGCATACCTTTAGCCAGCCTTTGGATATGTTTAATTCATCAATTCTGTGGTGCGGACCATTACAGTATATTCTTGTGCTACTATGATGGATGTGCATGCCTTCGCAGGCACATGGCCGTCCCCTGAATCATGAGGTCTCTCCCTCCACCGAAGCCTTGTACACGTTTTGATTTGTGTCTCCGTGTGTGAGACAAATGTTACATAAACAGACAAAGCTCTGGGCAGCTGGGAATGTCTGTGACTGGATCGTACTGTTGAACACAACAAAGATATTATTATGTAAACTATCAGCGGAAAGTATCAGCGAGAGGTTTTGTTTTTGCGGCGTTCGCTCGGAGGCTAGTGTCCGAATGACGGTGTCTGTTGCGATATCGCAAACAGTTTGCCCACCTTATGGTCGAGGTTCTGCTCCCCACAGGGCTAACAGGTAGGGGTCTGATCACAGGGAAGAGGGCTTGGCTCCGGACCCGGGCACCATTTTGGATTACACCACGAGGTACTGAAATGAAACACAGAACAATAGAATTTTTATTTTTTTATTATAATATTATTATTTCTAATTACTACAAACACAAAAAATGTAAGGTTGATATTGTAAATAATTGAAATGCATTATTTGAAATTAAATAGGTGAAAAATGCTAAAATAAAGTTACATTTTTTAAACTTTTAAACAACAAGGCTGGCATTTTGAACTATAAATAGGTCGTGTTGAAACATTTCAGGCAAAGTCACTGAAAATATTTCAGTCAACATTTTTTTTTCTGTAATACAGAGTAGTTAAATGACAAGCAGGTTTTTTCCTCCACATATTTACTTCCAAGTATTATTCATGTCAGTAAACTGCTGCAGCTCTATCTAGGTCAGTGTTTTCCAACCTTAGGGTCAGGACCCCACATGAGGTCGCCTGGAGTCCAAATAGGGTCAATTGTTAATTTATTTTTTTAACTAATTAACTTTAATTCACTTACTTAAATATAAATTAAGTTCAAATAAAATGCAGCGTATAAAAATATCTGAGCTAACGTGGTTTTTGTAAATGAAGGAGAACAGAAACACTGTAATACTTTCCATCTTTTAAATACTGTTGTTGCAGTAATTCACTGTTTGAAAGTTTGTTTGTTCAATAGTTTTCAGCCTTGTAAAGCTTTTTGAAAAAAACCTAAAAAAAATTTCTGGGGTCGCCAGAAATGAGTGATGTCAAGTTGGGGTCCTAATCCAAAAAAATGTTGGGAACCACTGGTCTAGGTACATCAATACTTTTAACTACCCCGGGTGGTACCCTGTCTCTACTCCAGGGCGAATAGAGACATTTTGGATTCTCACATCTGTCTTCATCATGTCCCTCAGGTTCAGTGCAAAGTAAAAAGTTCATGAAACCCTCATTTGACCTCAGGAAAGAGCTGTGCTGAGATGTGGACGCAGACAAGCGTGCAAGGAAAATGTTAAAAGATTCAAAGTTTCCAGGAGCACAGTCCATCATTAAGTGGAAGAAGTCTGGTCCTATCAGGGCTCCGGTCAACAGTAACCAGACAGGAAAGCCTTTGGTCAACACGGATGCCAACAGCAGCTGAGTTTCATAAAAAAAAAAAAGTCAAAGCTGCCAGAAGGACAGGCAGCTCCTCAGTGCTCCATTATACACTTCGGAATAACAAGCATATGGTGACCACACCTGGAGTTTACCAAATCATGATTTCTCTCATTTAATGTGACAAAGAAAAAAAAAAAAGAAAAGAAGAATTTCCCGGCATCTAAACTGGCAAAAAGCAGGTGCTGCCTGTTACCTGGGCCACCACCTGGTATCACGATACCGCGGCAGAGCGACGGCAACGTTTTACAAACGGACAAGAGAGACCGTTGAACAGAGAAGAGATGCACCTTCTCGCAACACAACACCCTGTTCAACAGCTGCAGGATAATAGAGTGGCTTTGGAACAAATCCTCCAGTGTCCTCGAGTGGCCCAGTCAAAGCCTACACTCCAAGCCATTTTAGAGTCTATGGTGAGAGCTGGAGATCACAGGTTTCAGGCAACACTGATCCACTCGTCCGCACAAGCCGGGCTTCGAGCCGTGTCGGGCCTACAATCCACACCGTGACGCGTGTTATTGTACATTTTGCGTACGATATGATACCAAGCAGATACCTTCACCTAATGCATATGTGTCAAACTCAAGGACCGGGGTCCAAATGCGGCCCGCCAAGCGGTTTTGTGTGGCCCACGGGAGCTTAAAAAGCATTTATTAAAGTCCATGCAGAAGAGTTTCTTAACCTATGAAATTAGAAGTGTTTTGTATTACACACCAATGAACAATATTTGTAGCTTGAATAAATAATAATCAATTGCAGAAACATTAGTCTGTTATGGAGTAGTTACATCTATACTAGTGGTCCACAACCCTTGTTTGTTCCAAGGACTGGTCCACTGGTAACAGTACCACCTGTTACCCGTGACCTATTATTTTAAAATATTGACAGATTATCTTTAAATAAAAAAAGTAAATGGACATGATTTTTTTTCACTTTGAATGAAGTGAATTAGTAAAAATTAAGGGCATTTTTTCACTGTGTCCCACTGCGACCCGGTACCAAATGACCTACGGACTGGTACTGGTCCGCGGACCAGGGGTTGGGAACCCCTGATCTATACAGTCTTCCATTTACAACCGGCCCTTCAAGTGGAACTATATTGCTGATGCAGCCCCCCGGTGAAAATGAGTTTGACCCCCGCTGACCTAATGAATGGAAATAGACAACCAGGTATTTCTCTGCTGGTTGATTCCTGCAAATAATATTTCATCCGGTATTTTGGATAAAGATTGAATAGAAGATTACTTCAAAATCAAATCACACCATCAGAACCTTCCAAATATAATCGGGTTTCTGGTTTCTGTTTCTATCAAGGTCAAACGTTTGCCTTTGTTTTTGTCATCACATTAGACGAAGAGAAGAAGAGAGGAGGCGAGAGAGGAGGACATGTCAGCCACCAGCTCTCATTACTTAGGGCTGGCTGCTCACCGCAACCACGCAGCTCCCTAAAACAGCTGTCATCTTCATCTCGAGGGTCAGTTTGCATTTTGCAGATGATGACCTGCTGTTCGCTTTGTCTGCTGCCGCAGCATTTGTCAGGGTGCACATGCGAAAAACATTTGCCGCAGCACCGATATACTGTTGCCGGAGACCCCCACCACTCCCCTCCCCCTGGCGCACCCCCCCACTGAGCCGATATAGTAAATTTATGATCGATGTTATGAGAAGAAATCTAATTCTCCCAAGGAACCGCAGCCTCATTAAAACATACAAGTTGTCATGACGAGGCTAGCCGGAAAACAACCCCACAATGTATTTGCTTCACACAGGAACACATGATGATAAATTATGATAGGTTCTGCTTGTTGTTTGTCAGTGTTGCTGTGTCCACCCCCCACCCCCCCAGCCCCCGGGCTGCTGGCTGCGTCCACAGTAATCTTATTGACTCCAGTTAGTGTGGCTCTGCCCCTGATATCTCCAGCTCTGCTCTCCATAACCTTATAAGTAAGTGGCTGCACAGAGTCTCTTTTGTAATCTTGATCATTCGTTGCTTGGTTGTGTTGTGTGTATGCGTGTGTGTGTGTGTGCGTGAATGTCCGTCTGGGCAGTGCATTAGGTCTCCCCGGGCTGACACGCACCCAGCCCTCCCTCCCCACCTCTCACTCCAGTCAGGCTTTGGGTTGCCATGGCAACGACTCGCCTTCCACATGCCACAGAGTGGTAGATCATGCATCAGGAGAGAAAGTGATAAACAGGCGGAGAGGAGAGAAGAAGAAGAAGAAGAAGAAACGGAGAGGACAAAAAAAGGGGGGGAATACCAGGCTCTGTTTGAAACGGCTCAACCGCACACTCCACCGGTACACACGCATGTTTACCCTGGACACACACGCACGCACCCACAGCTCCTTCGTCTTCTTTATCTTTACCTCCTTGCTTTGCTGTTTTGAGATTCTCGGCAAACACGTTACTTTGTCTTTCTAATTCTGTCCTCTCCAGTTGACTTCTCTCTCTGTCTCTCTCGTTGTCATTCTATGTATAGTGGTGAGTCACATCTCCAGCTGAGCATGCATGCTGTCTCTGCAGGTAAAGAGCCTGGGACATATGCTGAGGAGATGAAGTGACAAACTAAGCTGGGAAAAGCTGCAGCAATCCAAACCCTGTCCAGGTTAAACTGAGATTCACATTGAGAAAAAAATAAATACAAAAATTGCAGACTCAAAGAAAAAAAAAATCACGAGGATTCACCAGTTGGCAGCAGACAACAGGACATGTTAAGAATAATAATAATAAAAAAAAAGTGATTCTGCTTTTTTTCCCCTCTCATCTGTATTTTTATCAATGTCTGCTCAGACTTTGTCTACTTCCACTGTATTCTCCTGCTGCCTCGCTCTCTGCCTGCCTGTTTACCCTTCCTTCCCCACTTTCATGTACGGTGAACACAGGCAGCCTCCTCTGCTCTCTCCTGTTAAATGACTTCCACATGGCCCTGCAGGTTGCGGGTTGCCGCGCGGCCAGATGAGACGCATAAAAAAAAAGTGATTCTGCCCCAGACCCGGAGCACGCAAATACGCACACGGCGGCTGAACCTCGAATACACAAAGTCAGAAAGTTCAAAGTTCACTTCCAGCAGACCTTGAGAACGCAACTGTTTAAAACGGGTCCGCTCACTTCGCCAGAACAACCCCCCTCTCCTCCCCTCCTCTCCCATCTGCGGGCCTGCTCGGCTGCTGTGGTTTAACCGAGCACAGTCTGAGGGCAGAGCACGCTAATGTTGTCTGACTGACTGGATGGCTGGTGGGCTGAAGTGGCAGGCGGTTTAACTAGCTGGCTAACTGGCCTGTCGTTCTGTCACCTCAGCCTGAGTGTGTAAGTGGATCGCTGGCTGACGTGCCGTGACTTTCAGGAGGAGCATGAAAGAAAAAGAGAGATTTATTGACTTCTGCTCATATGAGTTATATCAATAATATCTTGGCATTAACATACAGATCGGAATATTAAAGACAAGAATAGAAAACAATTATTTTCCTCTTCTAGTTGCTATAAATAAATCAAAATATAAATTAAAGATCATTTTCGTCAGTTTCTCAGGCAGTTGTTCTGACGTCCCCCTTGATCCCGAGTGGCCGAATGGACGCGTGTGATTCGCTAGTCAGCAGCTGAGCAGAAAACTCCCAACAAATCCAGTGACTCAACCCACAGTCATTAAACAGAGTTACCAAATCAGCTAATGTGGCTAAAATAACATACAATAATTCTCCCCTCTTCAGTCTAGAATCCACCACACAGCGAGAAAGGGAAATGTTTTTAACCAGAAGAATAAAAAAACAAATGAACATCACTCCTTCTCCTATTGGTCGAATAAAGTCTGCCACAGCAACAGATGACAAAATTATACAAAAAGACATAATCCAAGTTTAACAAATTCTCATGTTTTGATTTCAGTAACAATGGTCAAAATGTGAATTAACTGAAAGTTAGCTTTTAAAAAAAATCAATAAATTAATATTCAAATTCCAGATTCTAGTTTTTACTGAATTGTTTCAGTTAAAAAATTATGTTTGAAAGATGAAAATTTCTCCATTTAGGTTCAAACTTTACTGAATTGTTTCAGTTAAAAAATTGTATTTGAAAGATGAAAAGTTGAAAGTTATCGCTTATGTTTTTCCATGTAAGTCAAGGATGTAGGAGAGAGAATAAAATACACGAAACAAGTCCAAAAAGTTAGCGTAAGCTAAAAACCGTCCTCATCGTCTCTAACAAACAGCCACTGTATGATTGTTGGTGCGGAGGTGTGGTGTTGTCTGTGTTATGGTCCTGTCTACCGGCCATTGTCCTTGTGTTTGTCCTGAGCCAACGGTTGACCACAGGGGGAGGCAGATTTCAGCCCACATCAACTTAGGGCACGGAAACTCTGAAAGCTGTGGGAATGGGAGATGGATGTAATAACAGGGAGCACTAACAGCTCCAAACTCACTCTCAGTGGCAGCCTAACCCCCCCTCCCCACTCCCTTCCCCTTGTTTTCGCCTCTGGCTGTCTACCTCAACTTTCTTTCCCTCCGCTGTCTCTGTACATCAAGCGCGGACAACCTGCCATTCCCGTACATCAGAAGCGCATACACATTTAAAAACTCTCTCTTTTCCTGCCTTGCCTTTGTCGTACGCGGACTTAGAGGCGGCCGGCCATCCGTCCTCGCCGTCTTGCTCTCCGACTATCTGTAAATCCATCGATCTATCTATCTGCCGAGCCTCTCAGACACATCACGCTCAGATTGTGTGTCTAGAGGGAGTCCAGGTTTTCAGACATTCTCTCCAACCTCGGCTCCTTGACCATTACTACTCCATTATCAGCAGCAATGGAGGGCGCGCCGCAGACGCCTAATGTATCCATTTCCCCCTCCATTTAGGACTCGGCAGCCCAGCGAGCTCCCGGAGTGCTCCCTGATTGGGATTGAATGTCCATTTAAATTGCTGTCCAGCCACCGGGGAGGGGGTAGGAGAGAGTGAGAAGAGGGCAGGAAAAGAGGGGGGAAATGGGAAAAGGTGCACACTGTAGAAGTGAAACGGTGAGACTAAAGAATGTTAGAGAAATTAACACCGAGCGTCTGACTTTTTTTTTTTTTTCCCTTTTCCCTTCCCCTCTAGGCTTACCTGCTGCAGCTCAATCAACCCCCTCTCCAGCTCTGTTTTAAACTTTTAAATATGCCTCCAAAGGAAGAGGCAGCCCTCTGCTGGCGCCTCTCCATGTGTCAGAACACAGCACTCTGTACTGTTAAGGCGCACTCCTCCAAAAAAAAAAAAAAAATTAAAAAAAATGGGATTTGAAATTTGAGATGATTGGAGTTGGCACGTCTATAGAGGACGGAAGGAGGTGGTTGGTTTGGGTGGTGGTGGTGGTGGTGGTGGTGATGGAGGGGGGGGGCATTGTTGAAAAGAATAAGACAGAGACAAAGATGGTGATGGAAGGGGAGATCACTCACACACACACACTCACACACACTCACTCACACTTGAAGATCTGCAGAGCAGAAACAGTACCTTGTAGGAGGACTCCGCCGTTCTTTCTGAAGAGGGGACTCCCCGACCACAATGGAGGACTGGAAATTAGAGAAAGGTGGGGAAGACGTGGGGTTTGTAAAGGAGAGAAGGAGAAAACTGGTCAATCATTTGATCACGTTGCGGCAGCTGGCCTACCCGGCCGGCTCCGTCATAAGGCAGATAGTACGGCAGGAATTTGAGCCCATAAGCCAGTGTTTCTGATTATAGTGATTAGATTCCCCGGGTGTCCCACTGTTGCCATTATTCCCTGTGATTACCTCAGAGAATTACAGCCTCGCTGCTGTAGTCCATGGGGGTAATTTCTCATGACAACCTCCCACCGTCCACCACTGCTCCATTCATACACATTTCAATGAAAACAAAAAAAAAATAATAATACAGCATACATATTTGCTAATGTCACATAAGGCTGTTGAAGACACGTGCACACAGTGTGACACACTGACGCTGCAGAGACAGCCACATACCCTCACACCCACACACACACACACACTGTGACTTATACACATATAGAAGAAGAATACACACAGCCCTGGACTCAGTTTGCGTGATCATTGCACCGCTAATGAGGGAGCTAATGATGGCATTTCTCACATAGACAGAGACATTTTCCCCTCACACACACACAGACACACACACACACACAGAGAGATACAACTCTGCTTTTATATCCTTTATTTTATGACAAAGGGAGGAAGAAGGAAGAGAGTGAGATGGAGATTCGTCAGGTTGAGTGGTCTTTAGCAGCAGACATTAGACGACACCTCTGACGGCTCCTTGTTTTTCTTCAAACCTCTCCGAGTTTGACAGGCGGCACTCTGCAATGAATTTAGCCGTGTATCGGAGAGACGCACGATTTTGTGCTCGTGTGTGTAAACACAGAAGACGGTCAAACGGAGGAGAGGAAACACACACACGGCCGAGCTGTGATCCCTCAAAGAGCTGCCCATTGGCTCCCACTGGTTTCCACTCATCAGGAGAGTTCCCTTTGTAAAGTGAGTCCTAAGCTGCCGAAGGAGAGGATTTGGACGTCTGCACTTGTGATGACTACGTGCGGGGGGGTGGGTGGGGGGGGAGGAGGACGGACACCA